GTTTTGACGACAGTTACACACTTCAGCAACTAAATTCGCATTTCGCCGCACGTTTGAGCCCTCGACACACGCGATCGGCTCACCGCGCTCGCGCAAAATTTGCACTTCGCCTCGTGTTTGACGTTTTTGAGGCGTCGACACGGGCGATCTCCGCAAAGGGTTGCCCCGGGCCAAACCAAGTTATTTCACAGCACATTTGAGCACTTGACACGCACGATCTCCGCAATTCACAAGCCCTGTCCGGCCAGGCCCCCGGCTAAGAAAGAAGAGTTCAATAGCCGAGAAATATCACGCACACGCAAACAAACATATGTCTCAGACTCTATATGTTAACATATGTTTACTTTTGCATGTGTGTTTAGTGAAGCAAGACCCCAGCGAAAGTTTTATTTGACTTTGCAATTACTTAAGCAAGATACCAGCGAAGGTTACCCAAGCAAGATCCCCGCACCAAAGCAAGATCCCATCACCAAATGCTAGCGTAGCAGCAGCCCTGCACAACCATACCTGCAAGCTGCAAAATGTAATTACTTGTAGCATACATACAACTGCAGCTGTATAAGTTGCAAATGCATTGCCACCTCCATAGCAGCAGGTCTAGAAGACCGCGCACGCAAGCTGTAGATATACTTAAAGCATACATACAAACGCAGCTATGTAAGTCCCAAATGTCTGGTAGAAAACCACACATGCAAGCTGCAAATGTAGCGCATAGCATACATACCAATGCAGCTATATAAGATTGGAAAGAAACAGCCAGAAAAAGCTCCCAAATGTATTGATGCAGATGTGCCACGCAAAAGATTTCTACAAAAGAACCCTTTACAAAGCTTCCGGTGTCCAAAGAGCGTGGCCTCCAACCTAAGAGCGATGGCCTCCAACCTAATAGCAATGGCCTCCAACCTAAGAGCGATCGCCTCCAACGTAGAAGCGATGGCCTCCAACCTACTAACACTGAGACCAAGAGAGTTGGTAAACATGACCAACAAATCGGAGAAACTGACCCAAGACATTTTGGAAAAGCATGGTTTGATGCTCGTCTAACAGCGTGTAAATCTTTTAGCTAAAAAGAACGACTGTGACTTGACAAAGTGTGCTCAACTTCTCTGCTAAGACGCTCATGACGCATCATAGGCTCTCCATGGGCTCTGGACTTGGAGCTAGATTTCTATCGAAAGAATTGTTTTTACCATGCTCTGTGCTCTGGCCTCGTTGGTAGTTGCAAGGGAAAGCGAGCAGAGAAGTCCAACATCTGTAGTACGAGCTTTACATGATATTCTATACAGGATGCTTGTAATTTGCTCATATCGTTTTCACAAGCCTCTATGAAAGCACCGGTGGGTTGAGCCAATGGAAGAACACCCAGCTAAAACAGTGTCCCAAATGATGGAGTTGTTTCACATCGATCTGAAAAGAAAGGAAGGTTTCACCTGGACATATTTCCAACACGTTTAGCAAGCCAGCCGCTCATATTGCTGTTCTGCAACCGACGACCGCCCATGCCACTGCTCGTTGGATGCTTGCAGTAAGACTTCAAACCAGTGTTTCGATCTCACTAACCGATTGAGTGTTGCAAGTTGGTGAGCTTTGTCGCTGCCTCGCATGGCAGAAGTATTGCCTAAGCTGGCTCCCGGAAACTGGAACAAACATCAAAGTGATACAACTGCAAGCTACTAGTAACAAGGGCATCAAGGTATAATACAACTGCAAACAAGTCACAATGTACTTTGTCATTGAACCAGCTCCACACAGCGGGTTCAAACATCGTGTTTACGGGAACTGCAAACATGTCTCATGTCTCAGACTGTCTGTGCAGCTGTTATTTTTCAAGATGAAACTCCTCCAACATGCTGAAACCCTGTACTCTTGGCCATGTCTCAGACTCTGACAGCCAGCGCGAACCATGGGAGGATCGCCATGCTCCTCCTCTCAACTCAAAGCGCACAGGAAGTTCAGAACGCTTCTAGCTACTAGTAGCGTCCTCGCTCCTAGTAGTACGGCCAGGAGCGCCTACCTAGTAGCTTCTTGTTCCTAGTAGCGATGCCAAGAGCCCCGATCGTAGCGATGCACTTGTTCCTAGTAGCTTCTTGTTATTATTAGTAAGGCACCTGTTACTACTAGCGTGGCACTTGTTTCTACGTTCGCTTCTTGCTCATCGACACCCCAAGAACCGAAACAAGAATCCACCGGTTCAGCTAATTTGCGATCCAACACAGACCTAAAGCGCAGGAAACTCTGCAGCATCCAGTCAGTCTCTTCCTGGCCTTGCTACCTCTTACTAGCTACCTAAGTCCCTATACTAGTAACAAGGGGCATCGCTATTAGTAGCAAGAAGCTATATATGAGTAACAAAGGGTAGCTACCGAAGTCCCTATACCTTTTACTGATCACTAAAACTAGTGGAAACACAGCTGCCACGACCCACTTCTGCTCCTGGGAAAAAAAGGTAGAATCCAGCCGCTGCACCAACGGCTGTGGATCGAACCAAACAGCCAAGTTGAACACCAGTAATAGCGTCCTTGTTACTACTAGTAAGGCACCTGTTCCTGGTAGCCTGGCACTTGTTTCTAATAGAAAACATTGTTACTACTAGTAAGGCACTTGTTACTAGAAGCGATGCCCTTTGCTCCGTTCGTAGCGTCCTTGCTCCTAGTAAGGCCAGGAGCCCCGTTCGTAGCGTCAAGTTAAACACCAGTATGATTTGCATCACTTAAGAATGACATACAGAACCGGAGGCCCTGGCCCTGGCCGTGTACTTTTCATCATTGTGTCAATACTTGGGGCTAGTGCAAGTAGACTGCCAAAGGTTGCAAACAAGAGCTTTCACAAACACTGTACAAGAACAATTGCATCTTCCTTTGGAAGCCGTACAGTAAAGATACACCACAAAATGACGAAACAATAGAACACAACAAGCGAGTACAATCGTGTATTTCATTATTCAAAGTTTGGCAAAGTCAACCGTAAAGGCATTCGATTTAAGGCGCCGGTACTCTTGAGGAGGAAGAAGTTTGGTAACAGCTTCCATCCAGAATCTGATTGACATGACTTCTCTTGTTCAATGGAACTACGGCGGAGCAATTTCCACCCCGATCCGAACTGTAGTTACAATACTATAGATCCACTTCGGGGTGGAAATGACTCTGCCGGAATTCCACTGTGATCCCCTTTAGGATTCCAAAAGGACAAGGTTGTAGGTCATGTATAGTTGGAAAGCTTTCAGGAGTTATTTTGTTTGTTCTACCGACATTACTTATGTGTTCTTTTGCTTCTGTTATGCACCCGCCTGCCAGCCCATGTCAGGACTTAATCATAGGTGTCTTGCATGGTTTTGTTGATTTAGGTGCTGACTTTTTGACTCTTTTCGTACTATCTATTTTGCGAAACCTAGCATCGTTAAATTCAGCGTGGAAGTAGATAGGCCAAATAACTGCCCCCCCCTTTCCACGAGAAACTGGAACCTGAAGACTTGTCCAAACATGGTTTTGCAAGTATTCTACCAAGGTTGACCAAAAAGCATTTATGTTTATGACTAATACGAATGCCTTTCTTTGGGTGTATATCGTTGTCCTGTTGCTTCTTGTGCTTCACTGCTTGTTGAAGCACGTTTGCAGATTGTGTTCATGGGACCCAGGAACCTTGACCTACTGACTTCCAAAGTCATGTACAATTTAGTGATATTTAGCAATCTTGAGTGGATATTTACCCTTTATATCATTAGTTTATGTTCTCTTTTGATTAGTTTGCTCAAGCACTATGTGGTTCCTCCTCGTCTCAGGTTCATTCAGCTGATTCTGTTGTCTACCACACCAAACCATATCCTCGAAATCCATGGCAAGACTTATTCTGACCCAACAATGTTCAAATAATCCTTCCCAGTTTTGATTTATTGGTCTACCCTTTTTAATTAGGTAGTTTGTTCCACTGCTAGTTGGCTTCTGTCACTCTTATTCAACCCCTTCCGTTGTTAACTAGGCGTGCCTCCATTTCTTCACATCTTTCGTTGTCGTGTTGTTCAATAGTTGTCAAGGTGTTTTCTCTTGGTCAATTAGATTTATCCTTCTTACTTAGTTTTTCTACTTTCTACGATTAGGTTTTGAGAAACAAACTTACAAGGGAAAGTATTACTCAAGAATAGGAACACCAAATATAAAGGGTGGATTGACCGCTATCGTTGCAATATATGCAAGGTATTGCTGTTTAATCCGCCACCCTCTTGCTTCCGCAGTGATTCTTGGATGAAGCCTTTTGAGAACATAGTTGCCTTAGACGAGAAATTCAAAAGCTGTGATCCTGACAGAGTAGCAGCCTTAAATGAAGATCAAGGAGCATGATTGAAAGAAGGAGAACCGCATTGTGTGATAGAGGAGCCTTCTGGATAAGGTAGGATGCTTGTAAGCTGGCATAGGTTCTAAAGGATGACTTTTTTAAACGAATGTACCTGATGTATATAAAAGGCATTTAAAGCATTACATCTGTCATATATCTTAAATAGGAGTATACAGTATTCAGCTGTGATGTGGAGCCTGCCATCACAGAGCTTGGAAAGCATCTTCAGTTCGGCCAAGAGGGCTTGGCCAGTTGGATGCTATCTTACTGTAGCTGCTCCCAACCGTGTTTGCTCGTGGTTTGTTTGTGCCAACCACATCCCAAAGGCACATTCAACTGAAGATTGTTATCTAGACCCCAAATCCTCCCCGGCAACTGGTGCAACATTGTTCGCGATGGGGCGAACAATGTGGTCAATACTTGCCCCATTATTTGAACGGCAGAATAGACGTCAGAAACGGGAGACCAGCGTTATTTTTGTGCCACCCGAGACCCAGAACATATTTCGCATCTCTGAAAAAACTCCAAATTGTTTCTACTAGCTTCTTGTTACTACTAGTAAGGCACTTGTTACTAGAAGCGATGCACTTGTTACTAGTAGCTTCTTGTTCCTAGTATATAACAGTCTTTGCAAATCCACCTCCCTCGGACGAGGCTGCTTGGTTTTGCCACAGCACTATCCCTCTTAGAGAGGTGCTGGAGCGGGTGCCGGTGCGAGGACTAGAGGCACTGCCACCGGCGCAGCCACTGGCGCAGCTGCCGGTGCAGCTGCCGGCGCCAGGCCGCCTGCCAGGCCGCTGTGCAGGCCTGCTAGTGGCGCTACCAGCGGTGCTGCCACTGGTGCCAACACTGGTGCGGCTGCCGGTGGCGCCGCCAGCGCAGCTGCAGGCGGCGCAGCAGACATGTGGGCATCACCAGCGGCATCCATTCCCTGGGAGGTCAGGAACTTCTCCAGCCTCTTGACAGTTGACCTAGGAAAACGATTTTCGGATGTGTCCAGATGTTGCGGACTAGATGGCTCAACCGGCTTGGCAACTTGCCATGTAAAACACTTTCTCATAACTTCTCATCGGTTTTGATGAAAACTCTCCTTTGGTCGCCAAGAAGCTTCAAGTCGCCAATCTCCGCTTTGAGACGCTCTGTCTCTGCATCTGTTGCATAGTGACTTGGTCTCTCTGTGCCTCAGCCGAGGCTTTCCCGTCTTTCCCAGGTCAACCTGGGTCAAAAGTCTGCGTTTGCGCCAATCTTCGCCAGACTTGTCCCAACCCTCGCAACGTAGCTGACGTGTAGTTGGCGTAAAGTAATCTACCAAAGCGATACATTCACTGGCGCCTCAATTCTATTGGGTATGTTGATGTATGCAGTATACACTTTGATGTATGCAGCATGCAGTTCAGAATCTCAAGAAATCTGCGGATGGTGCCAGCTAGCTACAGGCAGCATGCATCACGATCATCACGAATTGCGGTCATGGGTCATGGCCAAAACCTGCTTTTTGCATGCTTAAGCCAATGAAGCCCCACGACTTACTATACTGATTACTATACGGTACGGTAAGCGAATGTGTGGGAACGCTGCAAAAGAACGTCACAGCCGAGCTGCGCAGGGGAACCGGGTCGACTGGGCTTGCAAGTGGAGATGCTGCCACCGCAGGTGCAGGCGCAGCTGCGGAAATGGACAAAGGTTTGGCAGGCTCCAAACGTGGTGCGATCGAGAATGGCGCGGACATCGGAGAAACCGGTAGAGCAAAGGCTGGCGCCTGGGAAAGCGGTGAACATCGCTCTTAGGGTGGAAGACATCGCTACTAGAGTGGAGGACATCGCTAGTTATTTGCATAAATCTAGACTAATTCTAATTGCTTTTAATTCTTGTTTCTAATAGCTTCTTGTTATTACTAGTAAGGCACTTGTTACTATATAGAAGCGATGCATTTGTTCCTAGTAGCGTCCTTGTTACTAGTAATACTGTGGACGTGGATTCTATGGACTCCATTCCATCATTCCTAGCCGCCAAACCAAGCCTTGGACGTGTACAACATGATTAGTCTGAGAAATTTGGACAATCCCACGGCCAATCCGAGCTCGGAAAATCATGCAAAACGGATTCTGCTCTAAAACCGATGGTGATTGTGCATGTCCACAATGAAGTGGCCGAGTTCTGCGAAACATGCGTTGCTCATTGTTGATGAAGGAGGCAGCAAAAGTGCCAAGTCCCTACCCCCTGCTACTGCTTCTTCAACTGGGCATCCGGGCAAAAGCCACTGACGCAGGTTCTGCATCCTGGAAAGCGTGCATTAATGCACTACGGCAAAATTCATTGAAACCCTTGGAAAGGTGTCGGGGTTTAGTGCTGACTTAGTTTCTTTCGGCAGGGATGAGGCGTGGAAGCTTCGAATGTCATGATCTATGATCTGTGATGTCGCGGAATAGCCAGCCATACTGAGGGATAAAGCAAGCATATGTTGAAATTTCACAGTCCGACTAAGTGTCACTACCGTAAAGCATCCAGTGTATCTGACTGTTCAGTCCGGTCATCCATTTTCATTCTGGGCATCCAAGCAGAAGTAGCACCTGCGGTGCCCGAGGCTGCCCCGGCGGCGGCGGCGCCCGAGGCTGCGCCAGCAGCTGGTGCAGCAGCCGGGGCGAAAGCGCCGGAGGCAGCGGGTGCGGAAGCTGCGGAAGCGGCAGCTGCTGCCTCAGTTCAATTAATTTAGACTAGCTTAAAACAATTTGTTAAAAACAAAGCAATCTCCTTTTGAGTTGCTAATAGCAATGGCCTCCACCCTAGTAGCAAAGGCCTCCAACCTAGTTGCGATGGCCTCCTCCTTGGAAATCTCTTATGGGAGTGTCGGAAGTGTCTACTATAGCTCGAGAACCGTAAGTTTCATTCTGATTCTGCTCCTGATAGCATCTATACCAAGCACATCTGAGAAGAGTGTTTGCGACCTCTTTGGATCTCCCAATGAAGTGTCAATTCAGCTCGCATTTCATCATCTCGTGCTCTAAGTGACTCAGCTATTGAAGCTTTCTAATTTTCCACATTCCACATTGGCCCAAAACTTTCCAAAGGCTCAACTATAGTCTAACTTTCACTAGGTTGGAGACCATTTCTACTATTAGTTATTATTGACTAAAAAAAGATCGTTGTTGAGTTGTTGTTCAATTGTTTAAAGCTGGTCTAACGTCCCCCAAGGCTTGGTTTCCAATGAGCTCCCCGGAGAAGCAAGTCGCAAATTTGATGTCAAATCAACATGATACAGAATGCGGACCCACTCGCCACTGGCTTGAAACCAATGAACAAAAGAAATAAACAAACACATGAAAAAGCAAAGGAAGGAAGGAAGGAAGGAAGGCAGGAAAGAACGGGAAGCAAGAAGAACATGACTCGTGAAATCTTGTGAGTTCCACACTGCAAGCTCCGGATCTTTGTTGATGGCCTGATGAATGGACGATTCAGCTCGGATGTTCACAAGTTACCTATTACGGTGGGTTGATAATGTTGATAAAAGACATTGACAAGAAAAGCGAGGGAAAGTTGTCAACTTCGGGGGGCGCCCCTCGAAAGGACATGCTGAAAACGCGGAAAGGTTCAATAAAGATGTCAACGGCAAACTGCGTTCTCGCCTCTGCAACGCTCTTGCCAGAGGCAGCAGCCTTTGCCACCTCCTGGAAAGCCCCAAAACTGATCAAGGGTCCCCCACATCAATGGACATTCTGCACTACGAGAGGTCACAAACACCTTGTAGTGTAGGCTGATAATGGCAAAAATCAGTCCTTCAGCTTTTCCGGGTCTGTCAAAGCCTCTGTTGGTTTCTCACAAAAAACATGCAAAGGCAGCTTGCATAGTTGGAGTGAAACACTCTAACCTTTGCACACTTGCCAGTAGACGGCAAGGAAAGAATGACAGGTCAGGTGAACATTGTGAAATTACAGGGAAACATAAAAGCTACTTCTGAGTTTCCATCCAAACAACCGAACCTGTTATAAGCAACTAGGTAGTTAGAGGCCATCGCTACTACTAGGTTAAGGCCATCGCTACTAGAAACAAAGAAAACATAGCGGCGAGAAAGGTCGTTTCTTTTAGTTTGCAATTAGGTTGGAGGCCACACAACGAACACGAAGCATCGAAGTGCTTCGTATGTCACGCCGTCTTCAGGTCCCCACTGATGCCAGCTCTGGGTTCCCATCCACGGCCTGAGCACAATAAGGACCGACATGTCTAACGTTAATTAGCTTCTTGTTACTAGTAGCTTCTTGTTACTACTAGTAAGGCACTTGTTACTAGTAGCGATGCGCTTGTTACTAATAGCTTCTTGTTACTAGTAAGGTGAGAACATGACGACAAAATAATACGCAGAAACCATCGATGTTCGTGCTTCAGGGAAGCCCTCCCCGCCCTTCTGCGTCCAGTCGCAAGTAGTCTTTCACTCTGCCGCCCCTACTACTTTATTAAGTAGGCGTCTATACTTAATCGAGTAAGGCCAAGTAAGCTACTAGCTACTGGACGCTCGGATAGCTCACGCACTACTCATTTGGTTCCTAGATTTTAAAAAATCTAGCATGAGGCCCCTCTTGAGCGATTGAACGCTTGACTGTGCAGGGTGTTGTGACGCGTTGCGTTGTGGGCCTTACCAAAGGAAAGCAGTCGGAGACGGAAACCGGCTTAACCTCAAGCCTAGTCTTTTGGAGGGCTGGCATTGCTAGAACCCTATAATGGTGCTCCAGTGCTCCTTACACCCGTCGTGCTTAGATCGCCAGTCTTGGCCTTTGCTGTCTTTACTGCCTTGAGGTAATCTTTACTGCCAGAAACCGAGCTCTGTTCTGCCTTGTTTACTTTGTCTTTCAAATCTTTCGTGACCTATATAGACCGCTATCTTGGTGCGCTTCTTGGCCTCACATCCTCTAACTCAAAAGCACGTTCTTCCTTGACAGGGTGGCTCGGCAAACCCTGAAGGTCTGGAACGACAAATTGCAAGTCTTGCATCAAAAGAGTCCTCATCTGCCTTTTGTTTTGAACTGTTGTTTTTGAACTTTTGTTTCCAAGAACGATCTAGAACTGGGTGATTTAAATTACCACAACCGTACGCTACGAGGTTGGAGGCCATCGCTACTAGGTTGGAGGCCATCGCTAGTATTTGCATAAATCTAGACTAATTCTAGTTACTTTTAATTATTGCTTCTAATAGCTTCTTGTTACTACTAGTACGGCACTTGTTACTAGAAGCGATGCACTTGTTACTAATAGCGATGCACTTGTTTCTATTCTTTAATTTCACTGTAGGACTCTGAGAGCCCGGCCGCGGCGAGGTCCGGATTGGCCGCCATCGTTTTGACTTCCTGTGACCGATACCAGACTCGGAGAATCTCGGCCGGCCCATCGAGTGCATGAAGAAACAAAAAGAATGAAGGGTCCCAAAATGCAGTTGAAAGAAACAACTGGTTTTTAGAAGGGTTCCTCTTGGTGGTATTGACGGCGTTTGCTGCACGTTCTTTTTCTTCATAGCCACTGGAGAAAATATGACCGTCTTCAATCGTCTTCAGCACCTAGAAACCACTTTCACCACAAGATCTTCATCATGTTTAACTGTTAGCAAGAAGCTACTAGTAGCAAGGTGCCTTACTAGTAGCTGCAAGGAAGCTACTAGTAACGAGCGCATCCCTATAAGTAGCAAGAAGCTTACAATGTACCTACCAACTTCAAACATCGTAATCATTTTGCAACACTGTCATTGTCTTCACAACATGCAACATCGCATTCACAGCATGATCATCGTCAACATAATCTGTTTCATCGTCACAACGTTATCATTGATTTGTCCTCCTCATCACGTACAGCAGTGTCGTTGTGACATTTTCACATTGTCGAAAAACGATACTCCAGGGCTGTCAAAGACGCACTGAAGGCCGAATTCCACCGGACTAGGGGCTCCTGGCCTTACTACTAGGAACAAGAAGCTATTAATAGCTAGAAGCAATTCACCAACAAAAGTACCACTGTGGACCATCGCTACTAGGTTGGAGGCCATCGCCACCAAATCTCCAGAATCCACTGCCGCCATACGAACCATGAGCACACTTGCCAGTCAAGTTTCATAGCATGGAGACGCTTGGTGGATGAACTTCATCCGATCTGGAATTTCCAACTCTTCAAGTCTTCTCAATCCCATCTTCGGGTGAACAACTCAACTGTGTCCCTAGTTACATCTGGAGGTGATCCAAGTACTCTGCCTTGATGGCTTCAGGATTCTTTGCCAAGGCCTAAGTATAAACCCCATGGAGCTGGAAACCTTTGGCAAGTGAAGGCTTGCTACTCGTAGTCACAAGAAGCCATTAGTAGCTAGAAGCTAGGTTGGAGGCCGCTACTAGGTTGGAGGCTCCGGGCCCTCTGGGCAGGAACTATCCCACATACCAACAAGAAAGAAAGAAAGAAATGTCACTAGAAGCGAGGCACTTGTTCCTAATAGCTTCTTGTTACTAGTAGCGAGGCACTTGTTACTAGAAGCGATGCACTTGTTACTAATAGCTGTGGAATGGTCTAGAAAGCACTTGCTTGCTCACTCCGAGCTGTAAGCGGAGGCCAATGCAGGGTTCTTAGCCACTGCCTCACGAGAAGTGCATGTCAGCTGCAATGAGAACTGCAGTTATTGTCAGCTATGTGCTCATGCAGTTGTGGCACATGCACTCCTCACAAGAACTCGCTGTGATCGGAGACCACAAACACGTAACAAGAAGCTAGTAGAAACAAGTGCATCGCTTCTAGTAACAAGAAGCTACTAGGAACAAGTGCCTCGCTTCCAATGACATTGGTTTTGGCAGGAATGGCTGTGTGTGTGTATACGTTCAATCAGGACAGGGCAGCTGCCAACTCTGGGTCGTCAGCGAGGGCCTGTTCCACGGTGCTAACCATGCCCACATTTGGGATTGCATGCAATGGATTGCACAATCGTTAAGCGTTAACGAATGGAATTTGCTACCATATAGTAGCTTCTTGTTACTAGTAGCGATGGCCTCCAACCACCATTTTGCTTTTGCTTGACACTTGTCGAACAAGAATCCCCAACTCCAAAGGCCAAATGAACCGACACCCAGCCATGATGAGATCCGGGTTGGCGATGGCGACCTGCCAGGGATGAACATGCATCACGAACCTCGAACTGACAAGTCGACGTCGCAGACGTGTCGAAGTCGGGGACACTGGCCACACCTTGCCGAGATCAGGGTTGGCAAGCGCCTTGGCTTGCCAAGTGCCACGCACTACCCTCCATTCAAGTACAGAGATTTACGCCAGGGTCAACCACTTTGCAGGATTCACAATCCAGTCACCCGCAACCAACGTCTATTTGGCCGGTTGCTTAATGCGGATTCAGCCGAGTCGAGTACGGTGGCAAAACCAGGTTTCTCTGCCATAGCCTTGAGCAATGCAATAACACTTTCGACATGTCTGAGCTATTTGGCACTAGGCCATCAGGCAATCGAGGTACGAAAAACAGTCTTTAATAGCTTCTTGTTACTACTAGTAAGGCACCTGTTACTACTAGCGTGGCACTTGTTTCTACTAGCTTCTTGTTACTACTAGTAAGGCACTTGTTACTAGAAGCGATGCACTTGTTACTAATAGCGAACATTGTTTCTATTTGGCAAATGCTGAACAGTTACTGTAAGTGCCCGGCTGACAACAGAAATGGTTGGGATGCCAAGACCTGCTCGGAACCATCATTCACAAAGTCAATGCTGAAGTCAACTCTCACTTTCTGCTCCTAGAAACAAGAAGCTACGATCGGGGCTCCTGGCATCGCTACTAGGAGCAAAGGACGCTACTAGGGGCTCCTGGCCTCACTACTAGTAACAAGAAGCTACTAGGGGCTGATTTTGCTTGCGCAACAGAGGAGAACAAGCTGTGCCTTCGAAAGATCAGGATTTGTCAAAGCCTTGGTGTCCACATGGACTGCTGCGGCAAGGGTATGCTCGGTATGTTCTGCATATCTAGACACTGAATTATGCTCTTGCTTTTTGTCGCCTTTGAGGCCATGAGACCTCTCCTCTTATCTTCTTTTGCTTATAGCAATCTCGAGCAATGCCTAATACGTCATCCATCTATCCCTACTTCGGAGGAGTCCAGCAAGCTCCTGCGTGACACGGAACATCTAAACATCATATTGTTTAGCCTCTTTTTGGACGATCATCTAGACGTCTAAGTCTTGTTTATCTTAGAGAAACATCACTTTAGCCTTTAGATGTCTTTAGTGTCTCTCCCGTTTTCCGGAGTCTGGGGGGGGAGTGGAGGTCGTGGCGTTGCACGAAGTGACGATGTGTCTGACGAAGTGTCTTACGTCTGAAAGTTGTGCACAAACACGCATGGCCTCCACCCTAATAGCTGAAAGGAACCTAATAACGATGGCCTCCAACCTACTAGCGCTGGCCTCCGTCCTACTAGCACTTCTCTGGGAGTTTGCTCCGGGTTTACTTCGAAGATCTTCGATGCTGTGTTTCGCGCGCTTTCTCAGCTAAGATTGTAATTTTGGAGGATGTGGGTGGTAAGGCAGGAAAGTGTCACAATCATTCCAAATGCGTGGGGTCCGTTTTTGACGAAAAAGATGTGGCACAATGAACTCACTTTTCAGGACTCGTTTGCAGGCGTAGTCAGGTTGCGGCGTTTGGTGAACGTGTCGCTGTGGCATTGAAATTTGCTTTTCCAGCGATGGTCTTGAGATGTGCAGAACGCGAAGCCTCTTCACAAGGCTGCGTGATGTGATGTGTGCGTTAAGGTGGAATAGCAATGGCCCCCAACCTAAATGCGATGGTCTCCAACCTACTAGCTATAAGCACTACCTGCGTCCTCACTTTTTGGGAAGTTCGCACGAAACGCTCCTTTTGGAGAGTTCGCGCCTCACGAACAAGTGTCAAGCAAAGAGTGTCGTAAGTCCTAAGGCAGTGTCGCACACACAAGTTGTCCTGCATTCGGGTGTGTGGGTTCCATAGCAAATTTGTATTTTGCCTTGTTACATTAAGTGTTAAGTTTCCCAAAAACAATCTATATAGGAGCCACACCATTCAGCCAGATATCGGAGAGTGTCTTCAAGAAGAAGCTTCTGTTCCACTACTACTTACCCCTTACTGTTACTTGTTAAGCTTGGCTAAGCCTACTTTTGCTGGTTAAAGCATTGGAAAAAATGACTTGACTTGCAACCCAATTCCCACCCCAGGTTCAAACAATTCATGTCAAGCGGTTTCATCTGGGTCAAGGGCAGCTGCAAAGCCAGGTATGTTTGCCAGAGCCTTGAGCAGTGCTACTTTCATACCAAACATGTCCACTTTCAACAGAACGATGCTTTGAAAGAACATAGCACCAAGCTTATCAAAGCATTAAAGCATCGGGAAAATGAACCAGCCGTCTGGCCGCTTAACACACATTCCTCAGCGCGCAGCTCCCAACAGATCGGGCTGAGATGTCCACACCTTGAAGGGAGGCGTGTCGATCTAAGAAGAGAAGGAAAATGATAGATTTAAAGAACGTGCGACGCGATGGCCTCCAACCTACTAGTGATGGCCTCCAACCTAAGAGGGATGGCCTCCAACCTAGAAGCGATGGCCCCCAACCTAATAGAAAAAAACAACAATGAGTAACCCTTGAGGATTCTAAAGTCACGCCTTCGAAAGGTCAGGGTTGGCGAAGGCCTTGGTAGAGGAACCATGACAATGGTTGCCACACCACCCCGTTCTCACAGGCATCGAACTGCAAGCTTCAGAAAAGTGTCCATATCGCAGATTACTTCAGTGCACAAGCGTATCGGAAAAAATAACAAAAAAAACACGGCCTATGCTGCGTTGCCCTCTGGGCCCCTACTATTGCAACGTCAGGCTTCTCGCCCAAAGCCTCGTGGCCAGGTGATCATGGAGGCAGTTAAAGCAGGCAAAGGGACAGCACAGGCATTCTCTCACAGGCAAATCAAGGATCCAGCCGACAGCAGATCAGGTTGAGAACCTAATGCCTGCCATGAAGAGTTTCGGTAAAAACACACAACGGACTGCTGAAAAACTCACAAACATGACACAAAGATAAAAATTCACCAAAAGTGGACACCCCAAACTCCTTTGTCCACTTGTCCCACCTTAGCAAGATCAGGATTTGCCAAAGCCTCGGTGACTGAGCTGACTCAGAAAAGCCGGCAAGGTCAATGCCCGACCAAATCTGCTGTGGAGCATTATCTCTGAACTGATCCCGCATCAGATTCACAAGTCTCCCGGAGAAAATGGAATGTGAAACATTCACAAAGTTTGCCCAGTTTGCTAACTGTCTCTCTGCTTCAGGATTCTTGATCACCTTTCATCCGGGTCAAGTACGGTGTCGAAGCCAGGTGTATTTGCCATGGCCTTGAGGAACATGCAAAACACGCGATGCAAAAAACGACAGTTCAGAGTGGGTGCTTAGAAGTAGCAACAGTGAGACGATAATGCGTAGGCAAGCGCCAGATTTTAGGCCACATAGGGGAACAAGGAAATGACAAAAGCAGCATTGTAAAAAGCCAAGTCAAATGTGTTTTGATAACATTCTAGCTGGTATATAGTGAAGTCCAAGATCATAAGCCACCAGAGACCTGAAAGCCAAAGGAATTTGAGACCCTGCAGGTTCGACCTGTCAGCTGGCCAGCACGACAGAATGCCCATCTGGGTTGTCCGGACTATGGCAATGTCAGGCTTGCTGCCCACAGCCTTATTTGCATGGCCCCAAAACAGCACAAAAGCAACAAACATGTGGAGGTCCAACTCCGAAGGAGGTTCATATTATATGACGTGGACTTAAAAAGTCCCACAAACTTGAGGTGAAATTGCCAGATCTGAGTCGCCGGGTCGTCCCCAATGTTCACCGTGGCTCATACAGGATTGGAGGGCAATCCCACAACTTGCGCAACAATCATTCATGACACCCTTTCACAGCAGTTACAGGAAAGTTCCAACCCCAGCTGTTTTCCTGTGGGGAACATAGTGACACCTTACAGTACCTGAAAGCAAAATAAAAATTGAATACAAACCACAGCACAGGCATTCTCTCACAGGCAAATCAAGGATCCAGCCGACAGCAGATCAGGTTGAGAACCTAATGCCTGCCATGAAGAGTTTCGGTAAAAACACGCAACGGACTGCTGAAAAACTCACAAACATGACACAAAGATAAAAATTCACCAAAAATGGACACCCCAAACTCCTTTGTCCACTTGTCCCACCTTAGCAAGATCAGGATTTGCCAAAGCCTCGGTGACTGAGCTGACTCAGAAAAGCAGGCAAGGTCAATGCCCGACCAAATCTGCTGTGGAGCATTATCTCTGAACTGATCCCGCATCAGATTCACAAGTCTCCCGGAGAAAATGGAATGTGAAACATTCCCAAAGTTTGCCCAGTTTGCTAACTGTCTCTCTGCTTCAGGATTCTTGATCACCTTTCATCCGGGTCAAGTACGGTGTCGAAGCCAGGTGTATTTGCCGGGATGCATGTTGGACAGGGTACGGGTCCGAAAGAAGCCGTTAAGTTCCTAATGAAGCTAATGACACCTCCCAGCTAGAAGCGATAGCCTCCACCCTAATAGCAATGGTCTCCAACCTAATAACAATGGTAGTGTGCGCAAAGCAATTGATTGCTGCAACCTTTGCTGGGTCGAGTACCGATGCAAAGCCAGGAGACTTTGCCATTGCCTCAATCAATTAATTGCATATAATATATCGAATTCGGCCCAAACACGTTTGGTCAGGGCAAAAGAATTAACTGAAAAAACAAAGACTTCAAAGTCAAATTTTGGTGCAGTCTCAGCGATTAAGCATATTAAGCGTCCAACTGGCAAAAAATCTGGATGGGCCGCAAATGCCTTTGACGCTTGGATGCCATGCACGCATTTACGTCCAAACAACACAAATGAAAATGGATTGGCCGCACCTTCGAGAGATCGGGATTGGCCAAAGCCTTGGCGGCCGAAAAACTGTTTGAAGTGGCAACATTTGAAAACAAACTGTATGTTTAAACTGTCGGAGTTGGCTGTTCAAGCAAACCAAATTGAGTCACGTAGACTTAGAGTGCCGCTTGTTTTTCTGTACAAAGAAGAGCTGCGGGCAACATAATAAACAAAATGGGGTCGTGCAGCCTAACTCAACCAACAAAAAGGTCTTACATTACTTCCATCCGCCGGGTTTGTACTCTCAGGTCGTACTCAGGACTTGTTGAAACCTGTGACATACAGAGCCAGGCGCCCAGCTGGCGCTCTGGCATACATCCGCCCACCCGGGAACCCGGGAGGTCAATGAGGGGTCGTGTTGTCATATTCTTAGTTTGTGGCGGCATGCGCCCTGAAACCGAAGTGAGAAGTCACTGGAATCGTGCCGCTTTCTGCGCGTCCACTTCCTGTGGCTTCCCGCAGCAGCTGCACCTGGTGTAGTAGCCAAGGCCTCACGAAAGGCACAGCGACTCAGCGACTCTGGGCGGCTTTGCAACTCAACTGGCAAAACGGTAGCAACTCATAAAATGTTTCTTGTAGTACTGACTTGTTATTGGTACATTAAAAACACCAAACTGCTTTACTTCGAGTGATCCCCGCCGTGATTTTTCAACCATTTGTTTCACGCCGTGGTGAGGAGCATGTCAAGTGGCCTACGCTGTTTGCAATACCCTTCCAAGTTTTCCTCGGAACCATGAGACTACTAGTAACAAGTGCCTCGCTAGTAGTAACAAGTGCCTTACTGGTAGTAACAAAAAGCTATTAGAATTGAATCAAAATTAAATTAATAGCTTCTTGTTACTACTAGTAAGGCACTTGTTCCTAACAGCAAACATTGTTCCTACGCTGTTCTTCCAAGTTGTCCTCGGAACCATCCATGCGACCCCGAGGAAGTTTTCCTCTGGCACTTGAGGCCCGGTAGTGCGCACTGCGATCTGGAGGAGAAGCAGGAGGAGATAGGAGGAGGAGAGGAGAAGAGTAGTAACAAGAAGCTACTAGTAACAAGTGCATCGCTTCTAGTAACAGGTGCCTTACTAGTAGTAACAAGAAGCTACTACGACAACCCTCACCTGGCACGTGGGGAAAAAACAATTTGGTTGGTCAAAGTCAGGAACAAGCAACTTAGACCGCATTGGTTCGCTTGATGCTTGTTATTCTTTGGAGCCTTTGACTGTTTCTTTGGTTTGTCTCAATTTCCTTAAACCGTTGGACATTTGACAAATTAATTTGCTCGTTGTGCTCTGTCAGTTTCTATTCTTCTTGACACCTTTATATAGACCTTTCTTTGTAGACTGTAGACCTCTGGACCATTCTAGACTTGTTACTGTTCTTCTTTCTCCTGAAATTCTCGGTTCCTTTCGCTTTCCATGAATCAAAACACCCTTTCCTTCTTGGACTGTTCGTAGTCCAGACCTTCAGGTCTTTCGTTTGCCGAAGACTTGTTACTAGAAGCGATGCACTTGTTCCTAATAGCTTCTTGTTACTACTAGTAAGGCACCTGTTACTACTAGCGATGCACTTGTTCCTAATAGCTTCTTGTTACCTTCTGCCAACGACTTGGCCCGAATTCGGGCACCGGCCTCGGCCGCTTTGCTGTCAGCCTTGCTCACGCGAACAGATGGAACGGGATGCTTGTCGATGCTGAATGAAACGAAATATTTTCTAGGTGGGAGGCCATCGCTACTAGGGTGGAGGCCATCCCTATTGGGTTGGAGGCTACGCTTCAATTCAAGGAAACGTTGAAAGCTCCGAGAATCCTAGCAAAGTATCGACAAGTAGAGGTTTCTAGCAGTATCAAACAGATTTCGAGCGAAAAGCAGGGAAAAAGAAATAGACATACAACAAAGATTGGAAACAGGGGATTCCAAAAAGAAAGTAAAGTGTCGAACATTGCCACATCTTACATCAACCCGGTCCACTTCAAAACATCACAAACGGTAACCTCACTCCAACACACCACTTCACCACACAACACATCCGCACATCAAATCACCATGCACATTATGCCTGGTATACCTCACAAGCTATTCATGTCTCCTGCCATATCTAACAAGAAGCTACTAGGAACAAGTGCATCGCTTCTAGTAACAAGTGCCTTACTAGTAGTAACAAGAAGCTATTAGGAACAAGTGCCTCCAACGATGTTCAAGAAGGGTGAACATCAAGCAATGCGTCATAGCCGGTGAACACGTTTGGCAAGGACCTAGCACCTTGTCCTGGCTTGGCATTCGAGTTGAACCTATTCCAAGAAACACCTTGTGCAGTCTGATCAAAGGTATATAGTTGGACCCAACAAAGTCTTAAAACGAATGGGTTTCCAACAAGGTTGGGTTTCTGCAATCCGCTCGCAAGCGACGGCTCGTCCGCGGTTTCCCTGCCTTATCTCCCATCACCTGAGGCGTACCAGTTTGGCACCGCAACTGGACGTATCCAAAGTCGGGAGGATTGTACCAAAAAGCTTTTTCTTACGAGTAGTCATGCCAGGAGCTACTAGTAGCTTCTTGCTACTAGTAGCGATGCCCTTTGTTACTAGTAGCGATCAAAAACATACTACACTAGTACTAAACTATAGCAACAAATAGCAACAGCATGTTCAACAGTTCAACCAGTTTTCTGACAGCAAATGCACCACCTCTGTCTTAGGAGAGGTTTCGATTGGATGTTGGCCAATCATGGCCAATCAATTGGCCGGGAATGAACATTGTGCGAGTTTGCTGTGCAAAGTTAAGGGTTTCGAGCTGTGCTCATTTTGGAAGCCTCCTTTGCTCTCCCGTTTTTCACCAGTTCTCTCCAGTTCTCCATGCCTTCTTCAGCGCCTTGCGACACAGTTCGTGAGTTGGAAGGGCAGTACGGTGCGACGAATGCAGCAAAACATGAATCCAACAAAAAGCGATTTCTGTTTGGTTGAGTTGGTATTCCTTGTGACACACAAACAGTCACCTGTGGCATAAGGCAAAACATTTCTTGGACACCTCCAACCGCAACGATCTGACTAACAATCACAAGCCCTCAAGATATTCGGCCAAGTTGGTTCACTTTCCCAAGAAAAGGCTTCCCGGCCTCCTTAACCTTGCGCGTAGCTTCTTCTTTGGCCTTGGCAACAATAAGTGATTGGATAGCTTGGTTGGGTCAGGCCTTGTAACCCCCCCTGAAGTAGGTTAAACACAGACTTGCAGCGTGTGATGTGGAGCAGGAGCAGCAGGAGGAGCAACATGAGTAACATGGGGGACCACCAAGGCCCCTGATAGGTTCAGTGGTTGGTTGGCCAGTAACAAAATTGGCTATAGTTTGTCTGAGAAGCTTCCCCTACAATACTTGTCCCTTGAGGCGTATTCAACTACGTGCTTGCGATGCGTTGATTTACATCCCTTGCAGGCGGATCTAGTCACTACACCATTGGCCTCTCGCTATTCAATGAGCCACTTCTGCTCATCTGGGACATGTTCACAGAGGCTTGATGCATGGATCCTGGGTCCTTGACAACGGTTGGGGAGACCGTGTTGGAACCGTGAGGCTGAGTAGGAGACAATTGAGTCGAAGGCCTAGTAAAGAAGACAGTAAAGAGAATAGAAAAGAACACGAAACAACATACAAATAACATGAAGAGCTAATCGTTTGGAGACCATCGCTATTGGGTCGGAGGAGGGTAAAGGAGCTCCGAGGAGGTCTGAGGCCAAGACTTGAGCCGCTTGCATGGCCTCTTCTTTCCTTCGGGCTTCGGCCTGCGCCTTCCAATGACTTTTCAAGAAGCTCTCAGTTCTAAGATGCTTTATTTTTTGAATGATGCTTCAAGTACATGTTCAATGGCCTCCAACCTAATTGCAATGGCCTCCAACCTAATCAATCGGCACCCGGCCTTCGCCCTGGCAGCCCGTTTGGCCTCCAGTTCTCTTTGACGTTGCGCTTCCAACTCCTTGCATATCCATGACGCTTCACGGACGCAAATTCGGGCAAATCACATCGAGAGAGTTAAAAAAAAGGTGGACACCTGATAGGGCCGATAGGGTGGATTTCTTCAATTTTTTCTGTCACCTGATTTCGTCCGGTCATATCCGGTATAGGTCTTGGACCATTCTGTCACTCTTTGAAGGAAAGGTCTGACGGAACAAAGACGTAATGACAAGTTTGTTTTAATAATAACAAGTTGTTTCGTCTTGCACAAAACAAGGGAGAGCAACACAGGGTGTTTTTTTAAACAAGAAGCTACTAGGTGGAGGCCATCGCCATTAGGTTGGAGGCCATCGCTACGAACGTGACGCGCTGCGGACGCTACGAGGACCGTCCAAAGAGCCAAGTGACGCGCTGATGTTGGCGTTCGCGGTCTTGCAGCGTGCCAAACAAAGCACTCAACTCAGCGGGCTCCGGGGCATCGTTCCAAACCTAACACCTTCGTTTCAGTCGGACTATACTAATATCAAATATCCTAGAAAGGAGATAACATCAAACTATAGTAACTATATAGTATACTAATAATATACTAGTGCTTTTCTATTGTGATGTGCTTTGTTTTCGCTTTTTTGGGGTATACTGTCTACTATATGTATGTGTCTTTAAGAAATATAACGCATATAGACTAATTGGGGGTGGTAGGCAGTGAAGAGGCAAGTAAGCTGGTAGCCCACAAGTAGCACGTTAGCTCATGTAACAATTAATTAATGTGTTTGAATGGATCGCGGGATAAATAAATTCTATTCTACAAAGACGATTTGCAATTGTTCATGGTCATTGGCTATTGGCATTCAAAGATTTTCGAAGATACCTCTTTGTCCAAGCCTTGATCCTTTAAGACTTTATGAGAGTGTTGCCCCGACTCGGACAAAGACCTTTGTGCCAGGGAGAACGAGCTCAGTGGTATCTCTAGCCTCCATGCCCCTTTTTCAGTGTAGGCTTGTCTTGAAAGGGAGGTTGGAGGCCATCGCTATTAAGTGTCATTAGGCACATCTAGGAGGTAGGAGCAAGGACGCTACTTGGGTGTGGCCTTGCCTTACTACTAGGAACAAGGTTTGCTATTAGAAACAATAGATAAATAGAAATAGAATGAAAATAGAATTAAAATTGAAACAAGAAGGGGTTCTTGAAGGAAGCCTAGCCGACCGTCTTTGGCAAATCTGAGGGCACCACATCAAGCTGGCTCATCTTGGTGCACTCCACTGGGCAAAGCTCTTTCAAAGTGCTTTCATCTGTAAACCTTGCCATTGTAGCACCAAAATAGCCAGCCAATAGAAAGGTTTTGCTCTTGACAGAGCGTGATAAAACAATGATCAAAGCACCTAGAAGCACCTATATAAGCACCTATGCCATGATAAGCACTCTTGAGCGTTTCTCTAGAGCACATCCACTGCTTGGAGTGTCAGCTTCGTAGACAAAACACGTTGCAAACACTCTTCTGACATGGTTAGTAGCGCTAGAAGCTACTAGTAACAAGGGCATCGCTACAAGTAACAAGAAGCTACTAGCGGCTCCTGGCATCGCTACTAGGGGGGGCTCCTGGCCTTACTACTTGTGGCAAGAAGCTACTAGTAACAAGTGCATCGCTACTAGTAACAAGTGCCTTACTAGTAGTAATAAGTGCATCGCTACATGAGCCACATGTTTCAACTGGCACTCCAAAGCATCAGGCCCAAAAGGTGGAGAGATGTGCTCACAGCCCGTTGGAAGCACGCCTCAGTTGTAGTCGACGCGTTTCACTGTGAAAGATTTGACAACTTGAGGACCCTTGGATAGCACTAGTAGATACTAGTTTACTAGTAGTATAGTAACTCTGAAGAGAAGGGTGCTATCATACCAAGCAACTGACATGATCTTGCATGCTATTGTCTTTAACTTGTTCAAATCGGGCACACCAAAATAAGCTCATTCCCAAGAATCAGCTGATTCAAAGGAGAGAACGAAGGAAACCCGCTAGAAAAAAAAGTATGGCAATGCTTGACTGCAACCAACCAGCAGGGTGAAGCTCTGAAAGCATCAGCTTGAAGAAATTTGCATTTTAGATGGAACTTCTTCAAGAACAACACAAACAGAAGCGTCGATGGTCTCACAAACAGAAGCCTGACCACATGGGCAAAACGAGATGAGGTCCGTGAGGCCTGGATAAGAACACTCTGAGAACCGAGATTGCCACTTCCTGAAAAAAAAGGAAACGAAACTATTCTTCAGAGGAACCAACGAAAGAACTATATACTATGTATGTATTGAAAAAAAGAACTCATACTAAAAGAAATCAAAAGAATGAAAGATATTTCATTGATTCAACATGAGAAGCAACAAATATATTCACCAAACACACACACACCAATCGATTGACATCGCCCACGACACCCGTCAGGCGTCCGGCCGCTCCATTGGTCACTGCAGTGAGCCTGGCATTCGCACGACCTACCGCGACCGGTCCTGCCAAAGAAGTTGAGGGCAGGACCAACTCGATTAATGCGATTACCTAAGAATTTTGAAAAGAATCAAAGCTATTCACTAAGATACTGAAGATAAGAAAAAAGAAGGTTCACCATATGTTTTAATACACTGGCTCAATGGGCTACAGATCAAGGTGATTGTATACAGCCCGACGGGTACAGAAACTCTGCGAGCCAGCAGGTTCCTCTCCAAAAGTACGTATAGTAGCTATATGTAGCTATAGTTGCTAATTCCCTGAAACAACAAATCTTCAACAAATCCTTCCAAGAAGGGTGGAACTTGTGCTTCTATACTGTATCAGCTATGATTCAATCTGCTGCCTCCAAACGGTAAAGTGCACGTCGACAGAAGTCAGACATGGTCTGGCCTGAGATGAGATGAGATGAGAGTCCCGTCAGACTCAGCTTGCATAGTAAACACACAAAGCCAACAAGCATCTTTGCAAAAGACATCAAAAAACCAAGGACTAAGGACTGATTGATACTGATTGTGCCGTAGTTTTGGATGTTCATGAAGGAAATGCCAGAGCTTGCCCTGACTGACAACGAAGTTTGAGAAGCAGCTGAGACTGATGTATAAAACATTTTTTCCTACCCATGATAGGTCGAAGTCGAGGATGTCTTAATCTCTTTAGACATTTCAATGACCTTTAGACTTGAATCATGAGTCCATTGTTATTCTATTGCGAGGCTTCTTCTGCATCCTTGCTTGTGGTTTCTGCATACTACTTATTAGCTACCTTGCTACAGCTTCCATGTTCCCCGGTGGCCTACACAATGCCAAATTGCTTTTACTTCGCACTAACCCCAACAAAACACCCTTGTCCCAATTTAAACGTCTATGCGTTGGTGTAAAGTATGTGTCATATTCTGTGTTGTGATTCACTTTGGTGTTGCCATTCTGTCATTGACTATTGTCCGCGGTTTCTGGTCGGGCCGGCAGCAAACTGGTGGGACCCTTGAATCAGGCCACTGGCCGTGCCTTCGTTTGGCATTGTGCTGGCGGAACGCGTTTGTCATTGCACTGGGTGCTGCCATGCAGCGGGTATCACTATAGGGTGAAGCAGGGATCCTGGCAGTTTACTGGGTGAGGCAAGGCCAAAAGGACCGGTGAGTGGAAGAGACTCAGCCGAGACTCTTTGCTCTAACTACCTGGCAGTCACATAAGGGAAGATATCACTGACGAAGCTTTCCTTCACCCAAGGCACTGGGCTGAAGGCCATCACTGCCACCACATTCATATCCCAGCGCCTAGTGCAAGAAATGCTCCTATGTCATGACGGCCTGGATGCTGTAAGTTCTTTGGTTCCAGCCGTTTTTGTTTAAAGTAGAGACTTGAACGATATACACACTTCCACATATCCGTTTCCACGGACAGAATTCCACGCCTTCTTTTGGAAATTTAGGACGCTTCGGAACGACTCGACCTCGCGGAACCATGTTGGGAAGCTGCGACGTCACACGATTCGCTTCACTTAGATGGTCATCAACATAGCTTCAAACATGGTATGGTCTGGTCCTTTCCCCCTGTTTTTTGAGCGTGATATATACTGCTTTCCTCACATTGACCTTTGTCTTGTCCCCTTTTTCTTTAAACCACTTTGCACCAAGCCGCATTCATTACTAGTAGCTTCTTGTTCCTAGTCGTAAGGCCAGGAGCTACGTTCCTAGCGTCCGATCGCCCCGTTCGAGCCGCGATGCCCTCTTTGTTGCGTTCGGAGCTCATTCCGATGAGATCCCGCTGGGAGAGCCGAGCCTTCTGGGGCATCGAAAAGGACCCGCCAGGCGCCATGAGATAGCCTCATTCCACCCCGGAGCCCACCGGCCACTGCTCCGAAACGACATCAAAGGATTCAAATAGAAACGACCTCGAAAAGCACATGTTTTGCGGAAGAAATGGTATACGACTTGTTGTTTGCACAGGTGACAGTCGATACATGTGGATACTCATCCATACTCCTCCTCTCCCAAGAGTGTGCTGAGCGTGCCAACTACAAACAAGAGTCTCGCGAAAGGTGCTCTCAGCACCTAGATCCAACATGTCAACCTGGCGATGCGACTTCAGCAGTTCCACCATCCATGTTCATTCAACGAGCCGATTCAAGAATGTGTTGCTCTAAAGAAAATACGTGCTTTTTAGTAGTAGCAGGTAGTAGCATCCTGCAAAAAAGCTTGTACAGCTCCAGTATTGGAATGATGGAGCTGCCCCAGGTTTGCCAGGTTTTCTCGGAGCTAACAACTATCCATGCTGGCAAAACACCCTCTCATGCTTGCATGTCCAGGCTCAATTCAGCACCCAAAACCGCCTGAAAGCCGCCTTCGTTTTAACGTCGTTAAGATCAAAACCAAAGCGGTTCAAACCAACTCGAAATGCAAGCTGCGTGACCTTGAAACGGACCCATCGTTGGATGGTCGTGTCAAATCCCGGCCGATTTCCGGCGGCGCCTTGCTAAAACCGAAGTTGGAGAGCTGAAGGCAGGCCTGCCAAACTGCAAAAGCTACGGCGGGTGAGAGTTCACGCAGAGTAACGCGCTTAATCATTTCCTGGCGGACTGTGTTCTGAGGGTCTGAGGGTTGATCTTGCCTGGGAAAGGCAGCTCACGTCCATCTCACTCCTGTGTGTCTGTCCTAATCTGCACACATTCTTGCATTTTCCTGTCCTCCCACCCACTCACACATAAGAGGTTAGGTAAAAGCTTTCGTTGGCAGGCTTTCATCTTTCATCTGTTTGGCTGCTGTGGGTTGGTTGGTTAGGCAGCCAGGAATTCATGAAACAGTATTGTATCCTGCCCATGCGAAAAGCCTGCGAACGAGTGTGAACCCCCAATCAAACCTGGCCGTTACACTTAACCGCAAGAACCCCTTGTTGCATAGTCACGCTGGATCCGGGATACCGACATCATCGTCAAACCTGAATGGAACTCTTGCAGCCTTGGGAGTGTGACATCTCTCAGGCCTGTAGGGCCTATAGTGATTCCATTCAATCACGCATGGCACATCATGGCCTCCACCCCAGTGTCAACACGCAAAACGATTCATGCTTTCAGGCCTCCTGGGTGGCCGTTGGCCCTGCACAAGTGGCAAAGGGGCATTCCATCCTTGGGATCCGAAATGAGACCGACCAAGGACAACCCTTCTAGTCGTCCACAAAGATCCAATCAAAGCTGCTGGCATCTTCCGATCGTTCAAGACACTTCCCGGCATTTGCAGCTAAGCACATGGCCCAAGGTTCTTTGGCTCCTGCATACACAAATAACATACACAAGCACCTATAACATCCGCACATTCGAGTCACACAATGCAGTTGGGACAGACCACTTAGGGATATCAATCTAAAGACTCATATACAAAGCTAGCTAGAAGCTACTAGTAACAAGGGCATCGCTACTAGTAACAAGTGCATCGCTATGAGTAACGAAAAAGATGTTGTTTTTTTTGTATAGCCGGCTAACCCCCCTAGTACCTAGTAGTAGAACAAAGCATTTTCTCACCATGTGTTTTGGCCCAACTTCACGAGTAAGCAGCTTGATTTGTGGGTGCATCCGATGCATCCGTGTGCGCATGCTACAATGTGGCTCTCTATTTATGTGGAGCACCAATGTGCACGGTGTCTCCTCAGCTTCTGTGCCCTCATCAGCCAGCCTGCACGCAGTATCCTAGCCTAAACTTAAGTGACCCCACTGAATTACTTCACACGTCGGTAGGGCTGGGCCTTAGGGCCTTGGCCGTTAGTCTCTTACCCTTGCGAGGTGATAAAAATGTCTTACAAGAAAGAGTTCCTGTCCTTGTTCCAAATCTGCTGTTTTAATGTTTTGTTTTTCAAGTCTCGAATGTAAGGTTGCTAGGGTCGCTAGCCTGGCTAATTTGACTAACCGAGCCAAAGATGCTTGATGTCTATTTTTGGAGACCGTTGGCCTAAGCTTCCAAGAGCCCTACACAACCATGTCTATGTCCGTTTCCTTCCATTCCCTTTGTATTCTTCAATCTTTTCGTTGTTTAGACCAGACTTAGACGATAATTCTTTCATGTAAATTAATGTTCGCTACTAGGGGCTCCTGTCCGTACTACTAGGAGCAAGAAGCTACTAGGAACAAGTGCCTTACTAGTAGTAACAGGTGCCTTACTAGTAGTTAGCAAGAACGCTCTTAATTGTCTTGTCTTTCGTCTTGTTGGTCGGCGCCTAATGGGTGGCGGTCGTGGCAATTCGCACGCACAACCTGCCTCCAACGTGATCGGTCAAGGTTGTCGGTCGTTGTCACACGTCGAAAGCTTTTAACATCAAGGTCAACGGATCAAACTGATACAACATCCTGTTGGTTCTGCTTTCATTCTATTCTTTCTGCCTTTAGAGCCTTTAGACCTGTTCTTTCTTGTCCTTCTCTTTTAAATACAACGTTAACATAATCAAACTGATAGATGGTGAGGCCCAGGCCCAGCCGTTCGTCAAGTTCTCAAAGGTACAAAGAGAATCAAGCTCCAGCACGAAAGCCTCCGACGAAAACGGTGGAATCTCGGCCTCCAAAGTTCGCCATGTTTCACGGTAAAAAGGTTTGCTGCCCCGTTCGCCATCTTACCTTAACTCAACTCTAATTAATTCTTGTTTCTAATAGCTTCTTGTTACTACTAGTAAGGCACTTGTTACTACTAGCCACCTATACCACCAAAACAAAAACAAAAGGGAACTGCGCAATTGTCTCCAAGATCATCCCATGGCTGCCTCAGTGAATTTCTTGCAGTCATCAGGCGTCAACCCAGCATCCTGCACCGATCGCCGACTTACCATCTTTCAAGAGTCAGTCTTGGCCGAAGCGACCGAACCATCTAACAAAATGACAATTGGCAGTTACAATGATTGAATCATTGCATTATTGACTTTGAAAAAAAAACATGAACACTGAATACTACACAACAAATCTTTCAGCTTCTGCATCACGGCTTTCACTTCCTGCGATGCATCCAGTCTGGAGCCTCAGGGATTTTGAACCGCAAATTGCAAGGTTTATCTTTGAACAAGCAAGTCTTGTGTGACAATGGAAGTCTCGTGAACCATCCACCTGATGCAACGTTCATGTTTGCAGTGAATCGTAATTAGCCGCCAGTTGCCAATTGCAAGTGAAAAATAAACTTCTTGAGCGGAGCACTGGCCAGCACACGATGGGTGTCAGTGACCTTCCTGAACAACAGCAGCAAAAACATGTGGTCGGTGGTCAATAAGAAGACATACGGAATATTGCGGAGGCCATCGCTATTGGGTTGGAGGCCATCGCTATTAGGGGGGGAGGCCATCGCTATTAGGTTGGAAGCCATTGCTATTATTCCGTTGGTAGTGAAACAGCAGTAAACACATGGCACCTCGCTGCCGCCAGAGTCAGCAGAAGAAATTCACCTAGAAGTGCCGTGGAGCGTCATGAAGATCTGCTCAAAGTAATGCGCTTGACCCGTTTAAGTCCTTTTGTGTTTTTCTTCAAGCACCTTTCTTCTGCGGGAGACCCAACCAGAATGTAAAACCAAAGCCAAAGCATCTGAGTCGCTCCCGAATCTGCCTCGCCATCACATTTTTGAGCCAGTTCTCTTCGGCCCAAATTCTTGGCTGCTACATTTAGGACCTCAGTCTAAAGCAGCATCACCCAGTCCACATGCATCCACCAAACACTTGAGCACACAAAGTCACTGAGTTCCATGCCTGTTCTGTAGGGCTCTTTCAGCCTCCCTACTAGCCAAGAAGGTGCGGCGTCCTTGTCTAGTGGCTAAAAAAGGCAAATGGTCCTTAGTAGCCCTTGTTCTTGGTAGTAGCGATGCACTTGTTACTATATCCGCAACCTCAAAACACGTAGAGAAATCTCCTTCCAGAAACGCTCTCCTTCCGTCTTCGGTCAGTGACACGAGTGCACCCGCTCTTCGAAGTGGGCACGACTGCACCCCGCTCTTCGAAGGCCGCCGTCTCTTTACCATCTATAGGAACAAGTGCATCGCTACTAGTCACAAGGGCATTACCAGTAGTAACAAGAAGCTACTAGTAACAAGTGCATCGCTAGTAGTAACAAGTGCCTTACTAGTAGTAACAAGAAGCTACTAGGAGCTAAGGAGCAAGTGCATCGCTCCTTTTCTATCTATCTGTCATCAGATTTGTCAGCCGTCTCGGTCGTCGCTGGAATCGCAGCTTCAGCACCTCCTTCGGGAGCCTCATTGAATGAAAACTCAGTCGATTGGTTGGAGAAACTCTGAAAGAGCTCTGAAAGGAGCTGCTCCCTCCACAACAGTATCAGTGTGATGCGTCATGGCCACATGT